GCTATCATTCTTAAATCCAGCTGGACCAGCAACATCATTCTCTTATCCTAGGAAATCGGATGTTCTTACAGTGCAAGGAAACTTCATCCTTTGCAAACTGGATCCAATTGCAGCTACAGGGAGAACATACAAGCTAACCCCACAGGAGATGACAAAAGCATCCAACATGCTAGCCAAGAAAAAAAATATGTTCTTAATTGTTAGGTATAGAAATGCTAATCTATTTTCAGGGCTAAGTCAATTTAAATTCTTGTCATTGTCAACAAGAAAATTTAAGTTTTATATGATAACAATAAGATATCAGTCAAAAATTTGGACTGACTGGCTACAAGATATGTATCTTTAACTGTGTTTTTTTTTTTTTTTAAAACTTTAAAAATTCAGTTTTCCCAAAAATTCAAATTTTAATTTTTTTAAATGTGTAAATATTCTGAAAATGTACAATTGCAACATGTTGTATATCAAATGAAAGCCGTATTCATAAGCTTTAAAATGACACATGTCGCAGGTCTGTAGCTATCGTGGGTATATATTATACGGCATTTGAAATTATGGTGGCTAGTAAATTTTGGCTTTTTTTGCAATTTTGAAAATGCAAAATCTCAGAAATGGGTGGACCAAAAAATCTGACTTTTTTTTTTTAAGCATCTCATGGTAAGGTACAAATGCACTAAAAATGAACCATATCCATGCCATGAAGTTTTAAAATAGATTTTTGATTTGACATGGAATGACCCAGTAAGAAGCTGAGATTGCTCTCTGCCTTTTCTACTCTAGGATGGATAGACAATGTGCAGACACCCACAGCAGTCTGGAAGGCTCTGTCAACCACAGCTAACAATTGTATCATGGGTTTTTGAAGGTAATGCCAAACTGGATAAGGCTAATCCAAAGGAGCCAAAAACGTGTTGTGAGATGTCAATGGTAAAAATTCATATGCCTCTGTAAATCCCAGTGTGGAAAATATGGATTGGAAGATTGATGTATGTCAAAGCACACTTCTTATTTTATCTTCAAATGTTAGCAAGATAGGTTGTTAAGTAACAGAAGTGATGCTGAGACTTTACTCATACATGGGGGATGAAATGCTGAGAGCCAGAACTAGTTAGTTCTCCAACATGCATTGTATACGGTGTGTGCTCATTTCTAAGAGGGAAACATGTTTAAGATTGCAGACTCAGGATATTCCACTCACCCCCTTTCTGGATGGTTTACTACTAAAGCATCCTCTAAAAATATAGGCATCCCTTTCTTTAGAATCTCTTCAAGTAAATGCAGGCCAACCAGCACTGCAAACTGACCAGATGCCAATATCATTACCACAATGATATCTCAGCAATTTAATCTAATGTGTTCAGTAGATGCAAGTTAAACATGACAAATTTAGAAGCAAGATATTTGTCAAAAAATACTTTTAATAGAGCAAGTCTCCCAGGAAACAAATTTGATACATAAGATGACATCCAACGCATAAAACTTCGGTTTAGGTCTCATGTGGGGAAAAAACCCATACACACAGGTGGCAAGTTATCTGGTTCACAGAAGCACCAGGACCATGCTGTTTGATAAGTCATGGCTTTAAAGACCTAATACACTAATTCACCAACTTTTGAAGGAAAACATTCACAAAATAACCATTGTCTCTTAGATTTTGCTGTTGTTTCATGCTCAGCTCACAAAGATAAAACCCTTTGAAGATGGGAAAACAAATGATTTCAGCATCCGTTGCCAAAACATACAGAAATCTCCATACTAATTTACAACATGATACAGTATTTTTATTTATTTCTTTATTTACAAAAAGTTCTCAGGCTTCATATTCAGGCCAGATGCTACATATGGCTCAAACATGTTTAAAACTTGTGCAGAACATTGACCACATAAAAGGAATGCTTTGTCTTAAAACCTCTGAGGAGGACAAATTTCAAAGGTTGTGTTGTATGGCTCAATATTCAATGACACAAATAAAACTGTACCTGGAAACAGACTGTGCCATAGCTCATATTATTTTTCACCATTTGCTCTGGGTTGAAGATGGTAGGAGCTGTAGCCCCAAAACATCTAGAGTGCCACACAATCTCTGGCAAGTGCATAATAAAATGTGCACATAAAAACATCAAAAGGTTACTTTATTTTAAATTTCCATTCTATCCATTTAGTTTCACTCTGACACCTATGTCAATAATTTATTAAATTGGAATCTGGTTCTATAGCAGTGTAACCAGAAGTCAGCCCAAACAGAAAGGCTTCCCAAGGACAGCCAGGCTGATGCTATAACCAAGGACTCAAAGGAGTAGGTTCAATGTCACAGTCACCAAGAACACTTCTCTATGCTCCTGTTGCCTTTTCATACTTTATGAATGATCTCAAGATGGCGCAAGATGGTAGGTCAATGGTGGTCTCACTGAATAGATAATTCTTGTACTACCCAGATGCAGTAAAGGTAAAGGTTCTCCTCAACATTTAGTCCAGTTGTGTCTGACTCTAAGGCTCGGTGCTCATCCCCGTCTCCAAGCCGTAGAGCCTATCTGGACTTCAGATTTCTTTGCCTTTGGTCTTTCTAAATCAAACTGTGTCACAAAGCACTGGGATCTGTGTCACTGGTCATCAGCAGCTTGTTATTTTGCAGTCACCTACGTAGATAAGTTTCAGATTGCAATTGCGATCGCAAAAAGATCGTCATAAAGCAGATCCGTCATAATGCGGGGCAATCGTTAAGCGAGGCACCACTTAACCATTGTCTCTTAGATTTTGCTGTTGTTTCATGCTCAGCTCACAAAGATAAAACCCTTTGAAGATTAAAACAGCGGAGAGGATCTAGCTTTTTAGCCATCTAAAAGGATGACTAACAGCACACTTGCAAGTTGTCTAGACAGCACTTGGCTTTCATTAACCTGAGATACAACAGCAACAAGTTTCCTTTTCTTTGTGATGCCCAAGTGCCTTATTGCCCACTGGCATGGTGGTTCATGTGCATGACTCTAGCTTTCATCTACTTTTCAAATGGCAAGCATCTCCCCTTTTTGTCCCTCCTAATAAAATTGTAACTTCTGAACTTCTGTTATTCTGTCACATTTATACTACAGTAACTTCCACAGTGCTGGAAGTCATCACCCCATCACCAGCACCACCAAGAGGACAACTTCTTGTTATCAACAGATCATTCCAGGAGTGCACATCTTGCTTTAAAACCCAACAGTGCTTCTGGGAGACATCTAGGGGCATGACTGTACTATAAAACAAGGCTCTCGTATCCTTGGGGCTTTGTTTTTAACATGAAATGTGCCTCTTTTTCCATTGTAGCACCTCTAAACTACTGCCGGCAATTCTGATGGCAAGGGCATGATGGGGCCACAAAATCTGGTGCGGAGGCACTTAAGGCCCATGTGCTACACACTTCAGCCATAATTCTTTGCATCTCAGAAACTCACCAAACAACATTTTAATATTGTACAGATGTTGTATAATCTGTGCCCCAAAGTGGGACAATCAAATTACCTTTTCAATTGAGAGAGACTGGCATATCATTCTTTACATTCCTTAATACAGAGGCGGGTTTGGACGCCCAGTTTCCAGGCCCAGTGAAAGGGTGGCAATGGCTGGAAATGGCAATTAAAGAACAACAAAAACTCCACAGGTGTTCAGATGGGCACTTCTGTTTCTTTTCTTCTTCTTCTGTTGTTGTTATTGCATTTTTTGGGGGTGAGGATCTTGGGATACTCCCCAAAGTCCCAAACTGTACACTGCAGTAAGACTTTGGGAGATAAAAAAGGGTTTTTTGGGGAGTGGGTGGGGAATGAGGGCATGGGGTAGCTTGGAGAGCCACCAAAATGCTCAGAGGGACACCTCTTCATGGGCTCACCCTGGTCTTCTCTGGGACACTAAGATCTTAGGACAGCTGCACACAAATTGGCTCAGTAGCAAACTAACTTGCTTTTTATTGGAGTCTGCCCTTTTCACACAGAAACACATTTTGTTTCCAGAAAACCAGCAGAGGCTCCTTTAAGTATCTCTTATGTGTTGTATTTTTTCAGAGAACATGAGATGGGCTGAGGAGACAGTCTATGACTCAAGAGCAAAAAGAGAAGGATTTTCCTTATGAGGTACATATTGCTGCAGATAAATTCATACCCATATGCATAGACAACTGCAGATTATTCAGAACCCATGCTCACACTTTAACAAAGAAAGAAGGAGCCAAGATTCCCCAAAATACTTTTATGTGTGACTCAAACAGGGAATTCCCTTCATTTCCTGCAAAGTGGTAAAAAGCAACAAAGAAGTAAGATTGACTTCAAGCACCTGGCTGCCTCAACATAAGCTACAAGTGCAAGGAAAGTTTCAGTCACACACTTGTACCTGCAATAGCCAAAAGCAAGGTATTCAATCAGCCGCTTCATTAAAAACCTAACAGATACCTCCTGTACTGCTACAGAACAGCACAGTAGACAACCTGGCCCAGAATCTTTTTCTCCCACTGTCGTATACTAACATCTCAAATCTGAATAGAAATTCCATACAGTATTAGAACATCATTATATTTAATTCTCTGCAATAATTACTGAAGCCAACAACATACAATGAACATTTGAATTTGAGTTATTATTTGTCACATGGAAGAGGATGCAAGGAGATTACAGCTTTGTCTAACCTGTCTACATAGTTTTGCAACCTGTAAAAAAGACAGGGTTGAATCAGTGAAACTACTTTTATATATGGAACATAAAAGGGCCAGTTGCATGAAACGGAGAATGAGAAGCAAATGTTTTGTAGAAATAAATACTGTCAACGGTCAATAATTGCTGAGCAAATCTTCTGGAAAATTCCAAATGGGCACAGGCTTCTAATCCAACGATGTCCACACATTAAAAAAAAAGTGCAAAAAATTATTTCGGAGGAAGTGCTTTTTTGGCTACAAAGTTTTAGTAAAGCAATGATTTAAAAAACAAAACAAAACAGGTATATTCCTCACAGGGTTGCCAAAGAACGTTCTAAGATTGGCAACATCATTCCAAATTAGCTCCACAATAGCAGCAAACAGGCATTTTATTACATGGCAAGAACTAAGTCCAAACTCCTTCTCATCTAAGAACCTGAGTAATCGGTAGGGCCCAACTCAGCCTCAGGATAGCCTCCTCTCCAATCAGGTTACAGCATCCATTCCTATGGGAATATAATATACTTCTAGTACAGTCACTATCTGCATCCTCTTGAGCTTGCACATGTCGCTGAACCATCTGGAAAGGTTCAAAAGAAAATTATTAGAAATAATATGTTTCTTGGGGTGATGCCACCCTGATTACTCTCATGACAGTTACACACACACTGGTAACATCTCGCATAGATTAGTGCAATGGGCTCTATGTGGGGCTGCCTTTGAAGACAGTCCAGTGACTGCAACTGGTCCCGAATCGAGCTGCGCGGCTGGTGAGTGGTGGGGCCGCTAGGGAACAGATCAAGCCGATTCTGTTTAAATTACATTGGCTACCAGTCGCTGCCCGGGCCCAATTCAAAGTGCTTGTTTTGACATATAAAGCCCTAAATGGCTTGGGCCCTGGATACCTGAAGGACTGCCTCCTTCCATATGAGCCTACCCAGCAGTTAAGATCTAGCCAGGGGGCCCTTTTGAAAGAACCATCCCTCATGGAGGTAAGATTACAACTGCATCATAAATATCCTATTAAAGTCATGCTGCAAAATATACCACCACAGATTCACAGGACAGAAACACTGAAGATGGCCCACTACTTCTGTATGATGTATAATCCAGTTATTCTGTACAATGGATCTGCAAGGTAATTTGACCAGTTGGGTATATCTAGCCCTGCAAGTTATCACACTATCTATTCACTGGTAAACTAAAGTTGAAACTTGACCTCTGGCAAAACAAATCATTGCAGCCAACTCATGTTTTGTTGGGCTGGGTAGATTATTCACTAAGTTGGTTACTTGGCTGTGGAACCAATCGTTGGGAGAAAAACCAGCCTGTAAAGCATTAGATAAGGTGCACAGAGCACCCCAGAAAGAAGGAATGTTAAATCATTTCTTAGTACTTTGCACCTAGAAAACCTTGGAAAGGGTTGCTGTAAGTTTGAAGTAACTTAAAAGCTTGTCATTATTATTATAATTGATCAAGTTCAGAGTTCCTCTGATAATGTCTTGGTTGTGCCTGCAAAACCTATGAAAGGAAGATATACCCACAACCAGCATACTGTAGACTCCATTTGATAGTCATATCAAGAAACTAATGTTAGAGAAATTTTTTGTTTGTTTTCTTTCAGGTTCTGTTTTAAGTCCAGCCCCCTCTTGTACCTGTTCTGTAACCAAGCTCCAAGTTGCTAATAGCTACTCTTAAAAGGTCAGAAAAAATTGTATGTCTTATTTTGTGAAATAAAATGCCACTGTTAACATAATATGCCCTGACTGCTGAAGTTACTTACTGTAAGTTAATTCTTCACCAGGTCTTTTACGTGACTGATCACCTCTGGAAGGTGTGAGAAGGAAAGAAAAATTACAGCAAGTTAGCATAAAGCCTGAGACCATGCTAAACTTCAAAAGTAATATGCCTGAGAATTTGTAAACAATAAAATCCATATATGACACTGAGAGTAAAAAAAATTCAAGTGATCCAAAGAAATGTATCAGAAATCAGTATAACATGCAAGACAAAACTTATAACTAATACTGAGGTTCAATTCTTGCATGATCAGATTTTACTCCAAGCAAGTAGTGTTTATTGTGAGAAATCATGTGGATTGACAAAATGATGTGGCTATGTGTCATGCCACCCCATCTCTGATATAACTGGCATGGGAAGCAGTGTCAGCATTCATGCCTCTAACATGGTGTCCTCACATCAAATTGAACGCATGCAGTATGCAAGGTGACTGCATACAGCAGTAGGAATTTCATTCATAACATAAACATGGTACCTACAACCTCCTCCTTGCAGCATCAAGTTACAACTTCAGCGATGGGGTTTGCATAATCTACCATGACTCATTGTGATTAACCTAATAAGGTCTCAGAGTGTATCTCAGTTGTTGAGGTTCAATTCTTGCATTACCTGGGTAGCTAAATGCTAGTTCTGTATGATCAGATTTTACTCCAAGCAAGTCGTGTTTATTGTGAGAAATCATGTGGATTGGACAAAATGATGTAGCTATGTGTCATGCCACCCCATCTCTGATATAACTGGCATGGGAAGCAGTGTCAGCATTCATGCCTCTAACATGGTGTCCTCACGATTACCTTACCTGGGCTTCATGCTCTGGAGAGGACACTCCTCGATTCAGAGCATGTTACCATAGTCTCTCGAGACTGACTATGCTAAAATGCACGTCAAATTGAACGCATGCAGTATGCAAGGTGACTGCATACAGCAGTAGGAATTTCATTCATAACATAAACATGGTACCTACAACCTCCTCCCTGCAGCATCAAGTTACAACTTCAGCGATGGGGTTTGCATAATCTACCATGACTCATTGTGATTAACCTAATAAGGTCTCAGAGTGTATCTCAGTTGTGCGGTTAGGTTCATGACCAGGTTTATTACTCAACACCATGTCAGTCACATACTGCAAACCTCATTTCAATACAAACTGGAGCCTGGCCAATACATTTTGCATTTTCTGCTTTAGAAGATTCTAATACCAGCCTTGTCACTGGCCACAGTGGGAACTTTTCTCTGTACAATGAGTTCTGAGGCGGTATTAATCTAGCATGAAGAAACACAAAGAGCTAAATCATCTCCATTTTGGTTGCAGCCTGTGTGGCTGAAGGGAGTAAGAGAGTAGTACCAGCCAGGAATAAGAAAGAAATCAGGTCTCGACTGTGTTGGTTAAGTGAGCCATGTCAGATAACTATGTACTGCCTAGTAGCCAATTAACTTCAGTTGCCTTTTTTCTAGGAGAGGGACATGCAGGATCATGCATATGCTGGAACCTTCTGGGAAACAGCTTATTTTTTAAAAGTATTTTCTCTCTTTAATTGGCTATTTTTAAAAAGTATTTTCTCTCTTTAACTGGCTTTTCCTAACTCTTTCATTAAAAAACCTTCCCCAGATTTAGCATGGTGCTGGGAGAATGTTGTCCTGAATCCACTCTTGACTTTTCGGCTAGCTATGTAATTAACTGATTGCAAGGCTGTGGTTTGCTCGGAAGTAAGAAAGTCTCTGGACCTGCTATCCCAGGCAAGGTGTAGCAACTATGAGGAGGCTTGGCCTTCCAGAGCTTATCAGGAATTTAGCCTGGCATCTGAGGGGCTGGAAACTAGTCAAGGTTTCTTCTACATCTATCGTATCTAAATTTTTGCCCTCCTGTAATTGCTGCTCCAGGTGCTAGTAAATCTGATAGTATGGTAAAAGTACTCAGTTCTATTTTGTCTATAAAGGTTTTAATTTAATGGGTTTTAAAATCACACTCATAAACTACTTAAATGTTACCAAGGAAAATGTTGATAGTGCATCTAGAGATAACATAGAAGAATTAATATACTTGGAATAAAATTATGTATCCTAGTCTGAACTATTTATTGTTCACAATCTTTAGCACTGCAGATATTTTAACGTTCTTAAATGTTGCCACTGATCTCCGCTCCAAAGCTTAATTTCTCAAGGATCAATACTGGAAAACAATTTAGAATTCTAAATTAAGGAGAATATACCTTGATTAATGTATAGTTTCTGAATGAAAATCAAAAATTTTTTAAAAAAGAAATGCTTAATACATTAGAAGAAATAGGGAAGGAATTTGTAATAATGGCAGATTTCAACAAGGTAATGGACAAAAAGAAAGACAAATCAAATCCTAGTAAAAAGAAGAAAAATAATCTTACGGCTTTGAATAAAATGATAAGGTGAACAGATTTGAAAGATGTCTGGAGAGAGCTGAAAGAAGATGTAAAGAAGTTAATTTTATTCTTCGGTTCATAGAAGTTGCTCTAGGATTGGTTATATATTTCTATCAAAATTTAACTTCAAAAGTGATTACTACTGATGTAGTTATTATAAAAGTAAATGATCGTGTTTTATTGAATATGAATATTAAAATTAAGTGTGATTATAGAGATGATAAAAGATGGAGAATTAATTCATGTATTTTTTCAGTAAAAATATAACAGATAAAAATAGAAAAAGTAATTATAGAAATATGGGAAATTAATGATAGGGAAGGCTGCAACGAGAGTATTATTTAGGATACAATCAAAGTTATGATGAGAGTAATTTGTGTTAGCGAATTGTATCATCTAAAAAAGACAAACTGAAATACGTAAAGGTTAGAGATTAAAAATCTTTGTAGAAATACAAGCAAAAAAGGAACATCTGGAGACTACTAAAACAAAAAATGCAGTGAAATTTAATATATTTGAAAATATAGTTTTTAAAATTCAGTAATAAAAAGTCAAGAATGTTGGCTAGAGCTACTCAGTCTAAAAAGACTAAGAACCTAATTAAAGTAGTTAAAATGAAAAAGGGATAAAGTGTAATCTGATTATGGAAAAATCTGAAGGATTTTGGAATTATTTTCAGAAATTATATACCGGGGAAGCTTTCTTTGGGGAGTGTCCAACCTGTCAGAGAAGAAGTGACAGAGGTAATTATTAATAAATTCGAAGTAGGAAAAACTCCAAGAATAAATGGGTAAGGACTGGAGTATTATAAAACTGCTAGAAAAATGCTGGCACCTAAATTAAAGTCCCTTTTAAATAAAATGATGGAAGGTGGAAGAATCCTATTATTTTGGAAACATTAATTAATTACATTAACTCAAAACGAAATAAAGATCCAACTGAACATGGAGCTTATAAAATTATCTCTTTAATAAACCAAGATGTTATTTACAGCAATATAAGCATAGAGGATGAATATGTTTACTGTTAAATATACTAAAGAAAACCAATGCAGCTTTATAATAGGAAGAAAATGCCAGATTTGGCCATGAGTATTTTCTTTCTGTTTGTTTTATGTCACCATTGTTTCTTTTTCCTGTAGGTAAGGGGCTGAATTGCTTTAAATAGATTTATTTAAATTGTTGTTATAATTTCATTTTATTTTTATGTGTAAACTACCCAGAGTAGTGGTTCACTAAATCATATCTCTGTCTTATTAATTTAATACTGTTACGCTTGGAATCACAGGAGGTTTGTGAGAACCCTGGGAATACTTTTATACAATATAGTAAGAGTATTGGACAAAAAAACTGAAGATTCTTTTTTAAAATATACTGTTAATTTGGAATAAGTATAGAAAAACATTTATTCCATTAATTTCTCCATTATACCCAGTGGTAGAACTGGGAAAATGTCCATGAAAAATGAAACAAAATATGGAGAATCCATCAAGAAAGAAACAAGCTATTATGATAAAAGATTTTTGGACAGGATTGGGGAATAAATTACAACAAACAAATGGAGAAAGTATTAGGAGTGGAAAGAATATCTTCATTTAATCTTGTTCAATTAGAGCAGGGGACTAAAGTTTGGGCAATAGGAAATGGCAAATGTAAGGATCTTATGAGATTTGAAGAAACTGTATAAGAGAAATAAAAGGTAGATGAAAATAAGACAGGATAGTAAGTAGAATTTACTAGATAATAATAGAAGACGGGAGGGCCTGGCATGCTTTGGTCCATGGAGTCACAAAGAGTCAGACATGACTAAACAACAACAAATAGAAGCAGAGAATGATTTTTTAAAATGATGGGAACACAACGCGGCAGGTGAAAACTACCAAGGTGTGGGATAAAATATAGGATAAAAGAATATTAAAGTTTATGTGTATAAGGATAAAGAAAACTTTTATGAACTAGTTTACAGATGGTATTTAACTCCAGTGAAATTAAATCAAGCAGATATTAATAATAACTCTAAGTTGTGTTGGAGAGGACATCAGAAAGAATGCACTTATTTTCATTTGTGAGAATACACTGAAACGTTGGCAGTTGGTTTTCAAGGAAATAAATGTAATAACTAAATTAAATGTAGAGGTTATGTCCCAAAATAGGTCTTTTATCAACATTTGACAAGTTCCTATGGAGTTGGACAATGAGAGAATTAATTTCAAATTTATATATTAATGGTAGCGAGGTGGCGAGAGACTGTACACAACTAGGCGGGAATAATGAAAAAATAGAGAAAATTTAATAACACTGAAGTTCTTCTTCTTTAGAAAGAAATAATGCAAAGGGGAAGAAGAATGAAGAAGTGAAGAAACTATTTACAGATGGAAGAAAGAGAATTCTGAGGTAAGCAAAGCTTTGGTGTTCTCTCAAGGACCTGTTTGGACAGTGGATGAAAGAGAAGCGAGGGAGGACTGTTAGGATGTGTCTGGTTACGTGCAGTAGCATGGGAGAACGTTTCTCCTGAAGCTCTGGAAGATTCCAAGGCTGGGTCCTACACAGGCATAAAACCCAGACCACAATGAAGAATTATAATTCCTACCTGTTCCCATAATGCAACATTTAAAATCAATTATCTCTACAAAAATGGTACAATTTCTCTCCTTGTATTGTCAGTCAAAGAAACTGTTAGTCATACTGTATTTGGATCATAGAAGAAAATCTGTAGCCAAGTTTCTTTAATTATATAAAGAGAGAATACTATGAGATCTTGGAGATTAGCTAGTTTATAGCAGAGTGTCATGATGCTAAATGCCCTGGTCTGAACAACTGCATAGCAGACCTCAGAGAATGTCATAAACCAGAGAGGCCTCTCAACATAACTCTAAGGACTAAAATAAATCTGTAAGGGAGAAGGCAACATTGTAGAAAAGCCTTATTTGTAACTGCTTGTTCAGAGCCAGCATAGCCTCTTCATATTTCCAAAGGGCACTTAAAGAATTGAAAGCCATTACCTGCAGAATGCTGTTTAGTAAAAAAAATGGCTATTAATCCAATTCCCTAATGCCTTCAAAAACTGACCTGCTACGTTGAAATGTGCCGTAAAGTATGGTTTCAAATTTTAAAATAATAAGATTATTACAGTACCTGGAAAAACCTTCCTGAATAAGCTCTTGTTGAAGTTTCTGGTCTTGAGCAGCATACTCCTCAAGTTCAGACTCCACAGCAGGAGGGAGAATGTTTGGAATAAATTTTGAAAATAAAGCTGGTGCCATCTGAACCCATTCTGTATGGAAATAGAAAGCAACAGCCAATTTATGTCAACTAATGGCAGCAGGGTGGCACCCTGGTGGTGCATGGGTTTCTAGTTTGGATAACAAAATTAGCTACAAATGCATTCTATGTGCCACACCACTTAATTCTTGCCTGTAAAATTATCCAAGGCTTCCTAAAAGTTCAGCATCTTGCTAAAATATATAGTATGATTGGATTTGAGTACACAATCTATCTGCTAGTAGATTCTGTTTTGAAGCCATGTACTATGCTTGCAGTTGTTCAAAAGAAGGCCTTTACACCAGGGGAGGAGAACACATATTTGTCCCAAAACTCTCTCCAATTCTAATTAGCACCACCAATGATGAAGAAAGGCACAGAAGCAGTTTGATAACATATTACTTTTGATTTTCTTTTCTCCTTTATTGTTGGCAGTCTGGAACAACAGTTTACATTAGTAGTTTCAAAACAATTAACTGTTTTCCAGTTAATTCTAAGAACAAGGTCAATGATATGATAACATAGCTTTGAAGAATTTCATTTAAGTCTGGCAGTTTAGCATAGAAGTGAACTGAAGTAAACTGAAGTTTATATTGATGTAATGAGTAGCTGAATGATTTTTTTTAGCTTTCAGTGAAATTGTTTATTATAAATTGCCAACTGATAATTAGCACCACCAATGATAAAGGTACAGAAGCAGTTTGATAACATATGGACTGGTGCAAGTTCCCCATCCCTTCCATATACTGTGGTCCACAGACAGAGTCAAGACATGTGTCAACATTTGAAATTTAGAATGTATAATTACTTAAAAACTGATTAAAGAGAGTGCAGAAATGTTGCACTGAAAGTGAAACTACTTTTTTAAAAATGGCAGTCTGGAACAACAGTTTACATTAGTAGTTTCAAAACAATTAACTGTTTTCCAGTTAATTCTAAGAACAAGGTCAATTATATGATAATATTGCTTTGAAGAATTTCATTTAAGTTTGGCAGTTTAGCATGGAAGTGAATTGAAGTAAACTTTTATAATGATGCAATGAGTAGCTGAATGATTTTTTAGCTTTCAGTGAAACTGTTTATTATAAATTGGCAGTTGTGACTCTTAATAACACATTTGGTGATTGTAATATTTTCTGTTCACAACAATCTAATGTCCTGACCCCCTATTAATATTATGTCCTATTCATTTAGGGGCTTAGAATCATAGTGTATTAGAATTCTAGAGCTTGCAAAACTGATAACCATAACAAAATTGTTACCAATTAAATGACAATTTGCCAGATTTCAAGTTAGAAATTCACCTACAGTCAAAACTGTGGGTACAATAAAATGTTCTATTAAGAAAAAATTCCTGGAATTCTAGGGTTATAGAAAGTGCATACCCTGCAGATAAGGTTTATTTATAGTTAGGAGAAAATGAAAACAACATGGTTATAAACAGGGGGAGATGGAACATGGGCAATGAAGTAATTCATCACATCATAACAAATCTATGACACTTTGGTCACCAGATATCAAAGAACAATCATTTAGCAGCACAAGAGCAGATATAGTTTCCAGATACTGACAATAACAATCAATATGGGACTTCCTCCATAGACTTTAATTGGTTTGGTGGGGTGAGCATTTTTCTGTGCATGCTAAAATTATGTTTAAAGGCTAAGTAGTGCATTTTAGTTTACATTTTTTCACTTTTAAGAATTTTGATATTTTAAGATATATATTCTGTCTTGTTTTTCAATGTGCCTTTTTAGGCTATTAAGCAATTTTATTTTAGGAATTCAAATATGACTGAAGTTCTTGTCTGTAACCTTAATAGGAAAAAGCTTATAATGTAAACATTTTTGTGAGTATTCTCGAAGGCTTTCACGGCCGGGATCTGATGGTTGATGTGGGTTTTTCAGGCTCTTTGGCTGTGTTCTGAAGGTTGTTCTTCCTGATGTTTCGCCAGTCTCTGTGGCTGGCATCTTCAGAGGACTGGAGTAGGAACAGGGCATGGACAGAGTTCCTACTCCAGTCCTCTGAAGACGCCGGCAACAGAGACTGGCGAAATGTCAGGAAGAACAACCTTCAGAACACGGTCAAAGAGCCCAAAAACCCACAACAACCATATTTTTCTGACTTAAGTATTTGCTTACAACCAAAACTCGGTTTTCATATTTTTTAAGTATTTTTGCCTACAGTTTTCCTCATGGCTGTAAGAATGTCCTTCATTTTGACTTGTTGCTGTCTGAACTATTTTTTGCATATGGAACACAGAAGCAATGTAGATAAGTAAAGCTTATAGAATTAGAGATGCTGATGTTATCTGGAGTTATATTTATACTTTGATACCCAGATGAATGTTGATATGATTGTCCAAGATTATTTGGTTTGATTCTGGAGTTAACCCTTCATTGGGATAAATGCCAGCTGTGATGAACACAGGCTTCCATTTTCCCCCCAAGAGATCTATAAGGACTCTCTGGGGTGGGGGTATCCAATATCAGTTATCTGATCTGACACATGCTCTCTGCGGTGGGGGTTTCCAATATCAGTTATCTGATCTGACACATGAATAAGGCAGAGGTCGGACCAAGAAACAAACTTTATTGCTACATTTTATGCATCACTTTGAATCCTAGAACTGAGTACCATATTTCCCAAAAATAAAACAAGGTCTTATATTAATTTTTGATCCAAAAATGCATTAGGGCTTACTTTCAGGGGATGTTTTATTTTACAGTAATGTCATCTTCTGGTTGCTCTACAATGCTGCACAATGATGGAGGGCTGGGTTTCACTTAACTGGGGCTTATTTGGGGGGTAGCACTTATATTACGAGCATTCTGAAAAATCATACTAGGGCTTATTTTCAGGTTAGGTTCATTTTCAGGAAAACAGGGTATTATAAAGCAAGACGTGCTGCTGCTTCATTCTCTGCAGAAGAAACACAACAGTGGACAACTTATGATCTCCCAAAGGTTGCTTGATTGCCATTCCCACTGATCCCAGGCAACCTACCCAATGGTAAAAAAGGATGTCTTTGTATGCATGACTGAATTTGCTTTATTAACGTTGTGTTAGACAACTTGCTCATTTTATCTCTAGCTACTAACGAATCAACACTTTCTCAGAGCTGTAATAATATTCTATTAAGATGATGACTGTGAGAAGTCTAAATAACACTACAGATCTGTGCATAACATTGATGTGTTATTAAAAACAATCCCTGTGAACAAACAATTCAAAGAGTCTTAAATTTCAATAAAACATGACAATATCCACTTGCAGAAATTAATGAAGAGGAAGAATTGGATTTAGTGACAAATCCTTTACAACAAAGAGCAGCAACCTGATCCACGCCAAATGTTTTGGATTATACTCCAATACGCTGCCATGAGCACAGATAACAGCTAATGATTAAAGGAGTTCTAGACCAAAGCATCTGGAAGGAGCCAGGTTTCCTCTCCTGCTGTACAATACAAATGACCAAAGCTACATTCAATAGGATAAGTTATATGTAACATGTTTTTTCTTATGTCTATTTCATAAAGAGAGTGAGCTGACAAACTTCAAGAGGAGTATGGGAATATTTGTTTAATTTGCTCATTTGTTAATACTTTCAATTAGAGCAAGATAGGAGTACAGTGGTGCCTTGCTTAACAATTACCTCATTAAACGCCGAATCCGCTTGACGATTAGGTTTTTGCGATCACTTTTGTGATCGCAAAACGATGTTCTAATGGGGAAAACCGCTTTACGATGATCGGTTCGCTGCTTCAGGAACCAATTTTTCGCTGTACAATGATCAAAACAGCTGATTGTCAGGTTTCCAAAATGGCCGCCCTCTGTGCAAAATGGCTTCCCGCTGTTTTTAGGATGGATTTTTCGCTATACAGGGAGCAGAAAATGGCTGCCCTATGGAGGATCTTCGCTGGATGAGCAGGTATTTCGCCCATTGGAATGCACTGAACGGTTTTCAATGCATTTCAAAGGGCTTTTTTATTTCGCTTGACGATGATTTTGCTCTACAGCGATTTCACTGGAACAGATTAACTTCGTCAAGCGAGGCACCACTGTATATGAAAGAAACAGGCAGATTTCAGAGGGATTTTTAAGGAGCAACTGGACAGCAGCTGCATTGATTAGGCACAATATGTAAGAAAGGATAAATCATACCCTTTTCATACAAGTCAGCTTCCTAGCATCAGGGGAAATGAACTAGACTGCATGATTCAGTTTCATATTGGAGTTCCTCATATACTACTGATGCACATTTTTTGTGATTAAGGAGACAGAACTGCTGCTCCATTCCAACTTTCAAAACTTAGTGAAGAACATGGCTAGGATTTGGTGCACTGGTAATTGAGCTTGCAACTGGTATTTGACATCCTCAACAACTTGATAAATTAATTGCTACACACAGATGTCAAGAAGACCATAGACCATAGACTAATGCTTCACTGTGTAAGGCACTGGTGAAATTCTGGCACTGAAGTGTCAGGTATGTAAAACTATTTGATACCACAATATAAACTACAGATTATTCAAAAAAGAATAATTTACCTGGCCTAAGCATATACAATCCTTTGACAATGTTTGACATTGTGGAAGGGTTTATCCAAAAAGGCGTAGACTGGGCTTCGAGAAGTAAAGCTGAAATGGGAAGAGAAAAGCACATTTAAAATTAATGTTAAGTACTGATTTAACAAATAGCACTTTGTTATGCAGATCAAAACAAACAAACGTTTGTTGTTTTGGTCTACCAAATGCATCTACTCGAAACAATCCAGAATGAATGGATTTCAAAGACTTGTAAAACTTTATGAATTATTTCTTCAAATACTAGTCTTTCTGTATACTTGTACTGTATTTTGAAGATATTTTTATCATAAACATGCTATTTTGCACATCAATGCTGCTCCCCATTCAAAAGGGCAGGTCAAAGCCATAAACTGTGATCTGGATATAACTGCTGTGCATCACAACATCAGCGCTCTTCTTCAAATTCATAAATACTAATAATAATCCCATAGTATGAGACATTTACTTTATAATTAGGTATGCAATTTTTTTTACAGAGAATGAAATGCATAGGAACACATGGCACTATATTTTTTACACTATGGCCAAATTCCTACCACTTACATAGGTTAGTGTAAATTCAATATTTTAAACTGCAGCAGCAAATTACCATTAGTTAAGGAGTTGATGAATGTATTAATTATCATGCACCAAGTCACATGACTAGCAGGTCTCCACCATCTCCTGATATCTCTTTCAACTGATGGTAGACAAGCAGTGCCCTTCCAGTTGTTGATGGACTGCAATTCCCATCAACCCTGGCTGCTAATAAGAATAATAATATAATTTATTGTCATTGTAAGCATATACAGTATACCATACAACGGCTAATGAAATGGCAGGTGGGATTTGCAATACAACAAGACATGGAAGACTACAAGTTGGTGACCGCTGCTATCACTGAAAATGCTGGGGAGTTAACCAGGAGTATTCTGCACAGTCTGTGATCTACTACTCATCTATGCTGACCTGCCCTCTTTTCCACATGAATGAAACTACAAATTCTGATTTTTATCAAGTATCATGCACAAATAACAAATCTCCCTTGTTATGACTAGGATATAGGTTTAATGAAGCTGAGTGTAAGCATTAGAACAGACCCTAAAGGTGACTCAGGTTTGCAAGTTCCTAGAAATGTTACAAAGTGGGCCAACAATAGTGCTCAAAATCATCAATGATAATGTTTCATTTGCACAATGATACACTAAGTCATCAATAGCAATTATGGATAACTTATGCCAGTGAACAGCAAAGATGGGGGGGGGAAGCTCTCCTCAACCCTGAACAAGCATAAAATAGTGGAACTGGGAGAAGGGCCAATGTATTCTTTTGCTTCTGAGTTTGAACAGAAACCTGAATAAAGAGTTACTTTCTATGAGTTTATTTGCTGAAAAGCAGACAAATCACTAAGATTACCTGCGGTTTCAGAGGAAGAAATTGATATTCTTCAACCTCTGAAATAGCAGGTTGTTATATTACAAATCACTGATATTTGAGTTTTTATATATATGATTTTCCATGTTTTCTGTTTACTCACATTACAGATGTCAGAACACATTTATGCCATTTCCACATGTAAAAAAGGTGCCACCTATACAGTGTAAATTCTGTATCACTGCCCCTTTTCTCAGCACACTAGATACCACATCTCCGCTCGTTTAATACAGTTAAGTAAATTTGCATGTAATAAATATTCCCTTAGATATTCAATGCTTTCTCAGTGGCAGCCAGGGTCAAGTTAAAATGGTTATACGTATGTTGCAACTTCCCCTACTCTATATGAGTACTTAATATGAAGTAACTAAGGACAGGACTTCCATTTATAAATTGGGGGGGGGAACACCATGAAAAGAGCTTACTTTCATTTTGGAGTTTTTTCTTGGATTTCTGAAAAGGAGCCTCTTAAACATGGACGCCTCTTTTAAGCAAAAGGGAGCATGAACATTTCGTGCTTTACTTTTTCATTAAACCTTTCTTTCACCCAATTTGTTTGGAAAGTTTGCCTTGCCTTGCCATGGCTCCTGTATGCCACCTTGCAGTGCCAGCCCTGCTCTTTCCCCTCTGTCTCCTGGCCTTAGCTCTGTACACTTCCTTCTCTTTACCTGGCTGCCAACACCATCTACCTTCTGGCCCTGCCAGCTCTGCTCCTTTTCCTTTTGCCTCTCTACCACCATGTGCCTCCTTGCTCTGCTAGCCCCACTGTTTCCTTTCCTTCTTTCACCTTGCTGAAAAAACAACATCACCTGAAAGAGGGAACCCTTTCTTGGTTTTTTCTTTAAGAATGGTGCACAAAAAATACCCTGAAAGGAAAAGTGGCATTCCCCCAAAGAGTCAGAATCAGAGCAGAAACTAAAGTTTCCACCATGCACATCCCTAGATAATATAAGCATCTACTCTTCTTTCTATTTTCCATCTTATAAAAAGTACTCAAACTCTTCCCTAACTACCAGTACCACTTACAACAATAGTTTGCTGGAGCAGTCACTTGTCAAGATGAGGAAAATTAAAGGCACTTGATTTCATCGGAAAAGAGCTGCGTGGGTTGGTACAATAGGAAGGCTTCATCACTGTACTGAAACTGTTAGGAGTTATGTATTTATTTTATTTAACTTGTATGCCACCCACACTACCCAAAGGTCTTTGGGCAATGAATGCTATGTTCATAGGGCTCATGAAGCTGTTGTTACTTCTGCCCTCTTATACACTTAACAGCCTGCAGCCGCTGTTGTCTACTGCTGCTTTAGTACTTCTTTCTTAAAAGACACAATAAAATCAGCACTCTTACGAGACAGCAATTTTGTTTTGTAGTTAAGGCAACTGGAAACACGGCAAAGCCTTTCATTTCCTTTCCTTTTTTTTATCTTGCAGGTGTATTTAAAATACTCATAGTCTTTCTGAATGGGATGTAAAATGAAATTTCATATTTGGGTCTTCTGAAGAAACATTCTGGTGCATGAGGAAGAACAATGTGTTTAAAATTTGAAACAAAAGCTCTCTCTTCTGAATCTGGATCCACACTAAGCATTTTATTCCAACAGCTATTTAATTTTTTTACACAGATATTAAAAATCAATACTGAGAAACTGTTATTGGCATACTCTGTTTGTACCATATCTACTGCTAGTAAGCTATCACGCTGAACATTCAAACTTTAAAAAAAGAGACTGAAATTCAGAAAGTATCCCCATTTTCCCAAAATATTTCTGCAATATACATAACCTCTCAAGCAGAACAGTTACATGGTCTTACTAAGATAAAACAGCATGTAATGCTGACATCTAAATAACCTTTCCAAAATAGAGAACTATATGAACTATAGGCCACTTGCTAGTAATTTACCATAGAAAAATGTTGTTTCCAACAACTTTTCCAAAGAAGGAATAGATTTACTTTGTCATCTTAAGCGTACTCTGCTGAAGATATTAACAATGGTATGAAAATACTGGTTTCTTCAATAGCTGCTGCCATCACACAGGACACAGCTGGAAGCTTGCGGTGGCGAATCCTAAAGTGTTAATTAGGACTGAAAATATTTTAAGCCTTTTAAAAACAAAATATTGGGATAAGAAACTTGTGTTAATCAAGGCGGCTCACAGGAAACACTTTAGGCGTTTTTAAAATGCCTCCATCAAGAAATTAAATAGAGTAGTTGAGGTTCATTTCAGTCTCACGCTGCAGTTGGTTAGGTTTCTTCACTTTCTGTAGTATCCTGTTTTTAGCTTTTAAAGGTATTTTTAAAAATAGATTAAAGACACAACTGAATAAAAATAAGTTTGTTTTTTTTTACCATATAGCAGCATAGAAGAAAAAAACCTGCAAACATCTCTCACTGGAACACAATATATATATAAATAGGAATTTTGCTGGATCAGAATTAGCATTTTTGCCTAGTTTTCAACAGTAGAAGGGTTTTCTTTCTTTTCTTTTCTTTGGCAGTGAGATGCTGACAAAAGGCAGATTATAACGGCACTAGTCTTAATACTGTTGATTAGCTGCCAAGATGCAAGGCAAGAATGCAGCTCCATTTAGGTTCTGAGTTGTTGGCATATCTACCCTCCATGTATTTGACTAATCTCAGTTAAAACTACAAGCTGTAGCACTGTACCTTACGACAGCAATTAAGTTAATTACAACCTGTGTGAATCTACTGACAATCAATTTAATTGGGTTACAAAAAATTTTTGTAACATGAAAAACAACAAGTGATTTCTTACCCATTTTATGGAGGCCATGAACACATTTATAAACTCCTATTATGCCACCTTTCTAAACCGAAAGTTACCCAGTGGTTAAGCCTTTCTTTGTAGGGAAGGTGTCCAATTCTTTGATCATCCCAGAAAGCTCCTTGTAATTTCTGAAATGACTTTCTGGTGGTGCCATTTAAAGTTTACATTTACGCTGAATAGCAACATATAAAATTACCCCTCAATTTTAAGCATCACTCACCAGCATCACCATCGAAGTGAAACATGTGTATTGCCAGTACATTATCTCAGAAATGTTGAGTGAGAGCCACTAAAAGCATAAAGTGAATGAAAAAGATATGCTTTTGACATAAATGTCCATTACAAGTGCCAACATTATGAACCCCTACTGCTAAAAAGCACCAGACAGCAAAGATGTGAAGCACTGCCCAAATCCTAAACACAAAAGAATTAATTCAGTTGCAAAACTGAATTTTATGAAACTTGCAATCTTTTTGATTTGCTAGGAAAACCAAATTTAGTCAAGATGTCAAGAGCACATGAATCATTTATACTACTTTTAAAAAATTAACAGTAGAGAAGTGATTTTGATATAAATATTGCTGACTGGATTTTACATCTAAGTCAAGGATGAGCTGATATTATAACCAAAACATGGTTGTCTTAGTAGAAACCAAGTGTTGGTTTCAGAAAAAGCAGGTAGGACAACCCTCATGAACACACAGGGATAATCAGATTTAAAGCTTCTATTCAAAGAAGCTGCATTATAGTGCAGAATTTCACTGGCAAAAAGAGAGGGAGGGAGAGATTGATTGAGTGAGTGATTGAGTGATTGAGTGAGAGAGAGAGAGATCATTGGTCTGTCTAGCTCAATAGCAACATTGGCAGCCCCTTTAGGGCTGGAATCTTCAGGCAGGAATCTTCCCTGGCCTTCCAGGAATCTTCCCTGACCTTCTGCCTCCAATTTTGTGTTTTATAACTGGGCTTTGCCCCCACCCCCAGGCTGCCCAAATGCACACTGCTCACATGTAGAGAATTTGCCCATCCGGTGAAGTCTTTACCCTACCTGCTTCCCTATATACCATCACACTACATAGGGAAACATCCCAATGTTGAGATCTCCCATTTGTACTTTTTAAGAGATACCTAAAGTATCTAAAGAGGACTTAAAGAACCTCGTAACAAGGGTGAAAGAGGAGGGTGCAAAAAACGGTCTGAAATTCAACATCAAATAAACTAAGATCATGGCCACTGGTCCCATCACCTCCTGGCAAATAGAAGGGGAAGATATGGAGGCAGTGACAGATTTTACTTTCTTGGGCTCCATGATCACTGCAGATGGTGACAGCAGCCCGAAATTAAAAGACGCCTGCTTCTTGGGAGGAAAGCTATGACAAACCTAGACTGCATCTTAAAAAGCAGAGATATCACCTTTCCAACAAAAGTCTGAATAGTCAAAGCTATGGTTTTTCCTGTAGTGATG